AGGCCGGAGATAGCGGGCTAACAGCAAACGAATATAATCATAGATTTGGTTTGTGAAGTAAAGGTTTGACCAAAAGATTTATCCGGTGCGCATGCGGGACAGTGATGAGCAAAGCTGCAGCATTAAGTTAATTTTCCATCCAACTCGAGAATCCAGACTTTGGAGGCCAGTGCAGTGAGGTTTGAGAATACGAGACAGGAGAGGAACTCGGATAGGAAATGAATCAAGTGAGTAGGTTTTCGAGACTACCAGTAAATCATATATATGAGTTGTGTTCATTCTAGTTCTCTTAAGGTGGCGAAGGACTGGCGGTTGAATTTTCCCACACTAATATGCGTATAGCTGATGTTTTCCATTGAATTTCATATAGTCTCGCCTTCCCAAAAGGTGTTATCATCCAGGATGGACTGCGGGTCCAACCTGGCATAGGTCTTATCAACAACATTAGCGGGAGTTGAACCATGACAGTTCAATGTGTAATCTTGACACTTAAACCACCACGCCACATTGATACGAATGTCTTTGAGTCACAGGGCAGATGTGAACTTAAAGGAAGGCTAGATATTTTTCTATATCATATTCTTTGGTGGGATTTTCGATGAGGCAAAGTTATAGTTGCTATGACAATCGACTGCATTACTTATTTTTCGTTTATAAGTCGATTGTCATAGCAAATATAGCTTTGGTGCATCGACAATACCGCCAAAGAATATGAAATGGGATAATGCCTGGCCTTCCTTGAACTTCACATCTGCTCTGTCACCCAAGGGCACTCGTGGCAATATGGTGGAGTGTTCGTATCGAGATTACACGCTGCACTGTCATGGTCAGACTCCCGCTATTTGTGTTGATAGGACCCAGGCGAGGTCGGAACTGCAGTCCACTCCTGCTTGGATGAGAATACCTTTAGGGAAAGCAAGGCTATGTGAAATTCAAGGGAAACGTCAGCTCTAATCATATCATTGTGGGAAAATTCCACCTTAAACGAAATAGAGTGAACACAATTCATATGAAGGAAGTAGGCTGCAGACCCAAAAGGCCAAATTAAATCTGCAATTCCAACATAATCGGAAGAAGGATGATGTAACTAGTTGAGAGCGTGAATAGACCTCACTAAGTCGGCTCTAAATGACACATCTGGATTAGTTATAAATTGTGATGGCGAATGGGTGATACGAAAATATAAAATAGGTGATTTATCAGGATAAAAGAGAAACCACAACTGCTCAGCAGACAGTTTGTCAAAGGATGGCCTTCAACTTGTATATATGACGAGTTGTAGAATGAAGATGATGACTATAATGCTGGCGAAACGAATAGGAATCAACTAAGTCCACGATCCGACGCTGGAAATTATCATGGATACTATCGCAGAAGAGTAAATATGGACAACTTGCGAAATTGAGGTCCGAATACTTCTTATCAGTGATTGTTTCGAAAGGCTGCTTCTCGAAATAGTTTACTTATGCATTTAATTAACTAAGTAACCTTTTGAAGTGGCCCTTCTATAGTAGCGTCCCGTCTCATTTAGTTGTCTGCGCAAAGTCCTGATACCTGACTCCCCACGCTACAGCAACGAACCAATCAAGCCAGTTCTTCTAACCGGGACTATCTCATTACGATGGTCTGATAGCAGGACAGTGCAGATTCTTCATGCCTCCTCGCAAACCAGCGTCATTACAGTCGGCTAGAGTACGTTTATGCAGCTTTAAATCAAACGATCTTAGTGTCAAGCTCGCGGCCACAGGCTATTCATAAGTAGTTGTTGCTCCTCCAATCATCTAGTATAATGAAGTAATTATTAATTAAACAAATTTAAAGTTGTTCTGAACTAACAATTCTTTCTAGCATTCCTATTTCTCAGGCCTTGTGACGCCGGCTAGGCGCAGAGTTCATATTGTAACTAATTTCGTAACAACACTTCAGCCAAATAAGTATGATTAAAAAAGAAATCGGGAATAAAATATGCGTTTGTAGATTCCCATTACACAGCCCCATTCGGCCAGATTCTTTTCTTACTAAGACGTCCCTTTTAGCCCATAGTTGACCAAGCCCAGTTGAATACAAACATACGGATAAATTTATGAATTTCTGCGTAAGAGCCAGACCGGATAGGAGGCAAGACATGTCAGAATGAGAAGCTATCAAGTGTCGATTGGGTGGTAGGGGCGAGTAAAAAGGTAATATAATAGTGTCTTAAAGCAAATACAAGTTTGCTTCATCGACAATCCTACCACTTAATATGATAAGGGAAAATGCCTGGCCTTCCTTAAATTCACATCTGCCCTCTGACCCAGGGGTAGATGTGGCAGTAAGGCGTAATGGTGAACGTGACGAGATTATGCGCTGGACTGCAACAGTCTGGATTCGAGTCCCGCTTGGACTGCTACTGAGACTTAGGCAAGGTTGAAATTGCAGTCCAACCTGGATAAGGATACCTTTTGAGAAGCAAAACTATGCGAAATTCAATAGAAACGTAGTGGGAAAAATTAACTAACAGTCCTCCATTACCTTAAATAAATAGGGCTAATAGATCTCAAATACATATTTATCCTGTAATTATTAATTATATAAAGAAGGACTAAGTTTAGCCATGAGATCGTGTTTGAACCCAATTGTAACAAATAAAAATGTAATAACACTAGGGAATCACGAACAGACTTTTGTCTAAAGCCGAAACTTAGGTCGATTTCAATATTTGCCTATTCACTTAAAATCGCAAGGAAACTAGATAAATGCATCCCATCAAGGATCACAGATTTCGCCAGTACATTAAAATCAAAGTGGATCAATTGGAATATAGATTGCTAACTTGCGATAATAGTTTTCATAATTCCTAGCATCAGACTGTGGACGTGGTACGTTTTGCCGACATCACCAATGAGTCTAGCCATTCTCCGCACCAAGCGACAAACTCGTATGCCCTCGACTTTAGTTCTGCCGAAACGATTGCACTATCATTCCTCTTTCTGCCCTGGCCCATCTATCTACCCATTACCCTCTTAACAAACTCCCGCCATAACACAACTTCTGACTTGTTAGCATTACACTTGTCATGAAGTGTGCCGTTATTGACAAATTTAGTGTGGTCTCATCACACCCGCTATTCACCTTGGCTCCCTCTCTTTTGATCGGCTAATATGACTCGGGACCTCCATACGGATCTCCCTCAGGGTCCCGTAGATCTGTTTCCTATCTTTCTGATTGACCGATTTCCCTCGTTTCCAGCCCCGGTGTACGTTTTGCTCCAGGCGCTGTTTGACAAGCCACTAGAAACACATACACTGCCGCTTCACCGAGCAGAGCTTCTGGGCTCTGATTACCATGCTTACAGATATCAGGCATTGCCTTCACGGGTCGTCAATCTCGATTAAACCCGTGTTACCCAAGCAAACTGTGGACGCTTATCTCTGGTCGCATGCGGCATCTCCAAATTTGTACACGTTAACTTCGAACAGACATCACTAACTGATAATGTCTTCGCTTGATTTCCGAAATTTTACCCCCAACCCCCCTTTTTTTAGCGCGATCCCTCTTCCTCCGGTTAGCGATAGATACTTGATTCAGGCGTCTCCTTTTTGCTGGTCTTGGTGTATTCTTGTTTTCCCCGAGTTTTCTTAAGCAGTAGGCAAGGTTGTCGCTAACTCTATCTTCCTCCAATCTCCTATTCATTAGATTTTTCTCGCCAAGGATATCAATGGCCTTCATAATCTTACGCTTCCTTGTGTTTCCACCCTATGAGGCCTTCATTTCGGCTGCCTTTCAATTGATCGTGTCTAGCCTGTGCGATATGTTCCGCTAATTCTGAACTTTCGGTATCCTGCATATCCTTTGATGTTCCTTGATTCTTATGCTAATTTTTATCTTTGTTTAGCCAATATTTTTATGTTCGCAGGCGCCGCGTGGCATGCAGTAAACTACTGAACAATCCTATCTGTCCACCCTCTCATGTTGAGTCAGTAGACTTGTGAAGTGTTGTTTTATACTTCATGGCCACTTGAATATTCAATTTCCTTAGTAATGGCCGTCGCTTTTGAGTTAGTTCAAATGAAGGTAGGCATATCCACTTTTGAGTCCTCTACCCTTAATCTTCTTTCGTAGTCCCTGGGCTGCAATCGGCTTTACACGGTCAGTATGTTTCTTTGTATTATTTCGCTTGGATGGCCGCTGCTGAGGTATATCCCAGTCAATTTGTCCAATTCTTCACCCCAGAATTCCACATCCCTTAAACGTAGGCTTCGGGTGATCATATTCATCATTATTCCGAGCTTAAGCTCGGAATTAAGAGGGGACTGGAAATGGAGTATTATCCAGGCATACGACTTCTTTCTGAACAATTTATCTTAAGTATCTCATTAGAACGAATCACTTAAGCATTCTCTACTTCCATTGTGAATCTAATTTTCTCATCAATCTGGTTTATAAATTTCAGAAAATCTTCCAGTTTTTATCTCCCATGTTACCAAAGTGCGCAGTAACCATCCAGGTACCGCATTAGTAGTGCAGGTTTTAGCGGTGGAATCTTCAAGGTCTTTTCTAATTTGATCATCTATACATTAGCCAAAAGAGCTGAGAGCGGCGATCCCATAGGAATTGCTAATATTTGTTCATAAATGTTACCGTTGAATGTGGAATAGGTTGTCCTTATTGTCAAGTTGATTAGTCGTGTTAATAGCTCCCTCATGATACTTTACGATTCCATGATATCCTCCTCTCGGTTCAGGATTTCGCGCAGTCGTAAGAGCCTTTTCTTCAAAGATATTGATTAGCATGGATTGTACATCAAAATTTACCAATAAGTATGTCTCTTCTAGTGCCACGCTTCTCATTCTTTGAGAAAATTCATGTGAAAGTTTGATTGTGTTTGATAACCTGTCATTTAATTTCTTGAGCTTCAAACAGTAACCTTGCCAGAAGTTGTTTGGCCTTTTTTTTCGATATTTGGTCATATT